ATTTTCTGAACTATACACTGTTTCTTGAAGCGTTCAGGAAAACTTGTGTTCATTTAGCAGCTTTTCTGTCAGGAAACCGATTTTATCGTTTTCTTCAACTCTCATATAAATGAATAAGCATGAACTTCTGTGAACAATCAAGTTTGAGAACTTAGGTTTTACATGCAGTTATATTTTGAATGAGACAAAATCAAAACCAATCTTGCAACAAGCCAGCACAAGGTTGAGCAATAAAAAACAAAAAACAAAACTTACCTTGCATATAATGAATACGGAACCCCGGTGCTTGCCTCATTAAACGAAATGGAAGAGAAAGAATCTGAACAAAACTGAGCTGCTATCAGCATAGCATCATCATCCTGATCCTGCAATGTAGAAAATCAAGTTAAATGCTACAGAGGAACCCCGACACATTATCTATATATTTCTTGTTTGAATTTCCATTTCAAACAGAAGCCGAGGAGAAAACAACAGAGAAGGACATGTTGGCAGTTACATCATCTAACAATATCACAAGATATTCTGTTGGCAAAAGCCGGGTAGAACCAGCTCCTTCTCTGGCTGTTCGAAGATAGCATCCTGTGAGGAAAATTTCCCTCCCTCTTTTCAAAATCCCACTGTGAGGATCCACCAAGTCATAGTATCTACATAAAAAAGTAGCACAACCTAGGCTTCAGATAAAACTGTAGATTCACAAATAACAATATTCATCTGATACACAAGCAAACCACGATGGGAAAGACCAAAAAATTAAACCACCCCAAGGCATATATTAGCAGTCTGTATAGCTTGAAAATCCACACTAATCCAAGAATAGCAAAGTACGGTTTCTAATGAAAGAAGTCACAAATAGGGCATAAATTACAAAAATGTGAGACCTGCATAATTATATGAACCGTGTAAACCACATCACTAGAACAATTCAGGCACGTAAACCATGATAAGGTACGCTAAATTGGGCAGTGATTTACCTTCGGTGGAGATAAAGTTCGATGGTGTTCGAGCTCCAAAAATCCCCTAAAGTAAGCATGTAAATATTCGTCCCTAAACAATAATCACCAAAATTAATTCCATAACAACATCTCTATCATCCTAAAACTAGATGCTCTAATTCTTTTTTTTTCAGTACCTGGTAGAACAAAAGCATCGACAATAACAGCTTCCAGGACGCTATTTAAAGACAGAAAATTCTTCTCATAAACAGAATCAATGGTCACGGTATTTGCTAACTTATTTCTCCTGTGTTTCTTCTTCAAATGATTGATGATTTCCGGTCTCTTCTTCGATACGCCGCTCCGTCGTTGCTCGCTCCACGCCTCAAAACAAATCGAACACATTATAATAATTAAAAGAACTCTTAAGTAACGAAAACAATATAGTAATAATAATTTATTAAGAGAAACCGTAATAATTACTTGAGAGAGATCTGAAAGGAGAATAGCAGAAGTGACTCCACTTGAGTAAGCGATACAAGTTTTGAGTATCCGACTCGCTATCCAGCTCCAACCTGGTCCGGTGGACTCGGGTCCGTTTGTAGTCGGGTCGTAAATTTCTTCATCTTCGTCGCCTTCAACGGGGGATAAAACGGACCTGGCGTGATCGATAAATGCGAGAAACGGGTCTTGATTTTCTATGTCCATGTTGAGTCTTCGTTCGAGCTATTGAGTTGATCCGTGCCTTTAACTCGCTGATTTGCGATTTCAAAAACCTGGATTCTCCGTACTAGTTGGGAGGGAATTTGCGTTTTGGCGCGGGAATTCTTTTTAAAATTGGGGATGTTTCAAGGCTGGGTTTTTGGGCATAGCCTGCTTGCTTACAGGTCCCAATGGAGTGCTTTCAAATCACGAGACTTTTTAGTATAAAAAACTAGATTATTTTAATGCATATAGCTGTGGGTCAAATGAATTTTTTTAATATAAAAATAAAATTAATCATTCTTACATGTTTTATCATAAAAAAATAATAATGTATTCAAAATATGACACGTATTTTATAATTTTTTTTAATATTAATGTGCCAATGGATAATATTTATTTTTAAATATTATAATAATTAAATATTTAATTCATATGAGTTAGTCTTTCAAATCTTTTACTTCAACTATGTAACAATGATGGTGTTATATAAAATAAATTAAAAGTTTTAATTTTTAATTAATATAATATTTAATGATGAAATAAATTAAAAATTAATAAAAAATCAACTTGAGTTAAATTACCAAACTAATAATTCATATCGTAAGATCATGTTAACTATATTGAATTATAAAATTTAATTTTTAATTAATTTAATATTAAAAAAAACAAGTCAAGTTTAGACTAAAATAATAAGCTTATGGCTTGAGTTTTAAAATTAGTATAACTTCATAAATAAAAAATAAAAAAATTACAAATTTTATTTTTAACATATCTAAAGTTGAGGTTTGAAATTGAAAGAAAAAAACTAAATTCATAAAATCAAGATAAAATTCACATAAAAAATTTAAAAAGAAATGATGAAGCTTAGTTATAAACAATATAATATTAAATTATAAGATTAAAATAAAAAATATTGAAAAATAATCTAAAAAATAAATTAAATTAATCTGAATTAACTTGTTAAATTTATAATTTAAATCAAAAGATCATAATAACCTCATATAAAACAATTCGAGAAAAATCATGAATTTTTATTAAAAAAATATTTAATTAAAAAATAAAAAGTAAATTAAACAAGGTTAAAAAATATGTCAAAATCACAACTGAATTATGATATTAAGATAAATCTATATAAAAAATAAAACTCAATTTATTAAACTTATTTTAACTTATTAAAACTATAGTATAAATTATAAAACCAATAAAAAAATTTTACTTTTAATAAATTTAATATTAAAAATTAAAATTAAGAAACAAATATCAATTTTTACATGACGCAGTGAAAAGAAAATTTTAAAAAAGTGAAGTACAATTATTTAAATAAATTGATATAAAACAATAAAATAAAATAAAAATTTATAAAAAATGAAATTAAAAAGAAATCACCACCCAAAATATTATTTCAATTAATAAATTTTTAATGACGTGGCTTCAGCCGCAACTTTTAGAAAATTCCCATATGGATGGCTTGCTCGAGATACTATAGTATCTATCCCTGTAGAGAGGGAGAGAGCAGAGTGCTTTATTTTCAATTACCTAAAACTTTTGAGATTTTATTGCACGAGTACTGAGAATTTAGTACAGATTATTTTTTATTTATAAATATATTTAAAACATTAATATATCTAAACAATATAAAAAAATAAAAAACAGAAAATATTAAAATTTCTAAAAACACAGTACAATACTAGACACCTCTAGTGGCCTGAAACAAATATAAAATGAATAAAATAGCTTTTGACTGCAAAGACTGAAATGGAGATTTAAAAACCTTTTTATTTATTTATTTGAAGACAGAAATGAAGTAATTTTTTATCCCTCAAAGAAAATAAAGTATAGCTGAGACATGTATTCGTGACATGGATAAAGATTTTTTCTTTCAAAAGCATACCTTTAAAACAACCTTGATTTAAACTTATGCTGCTGACTTCAAATCTAAATCATTAAACTTCCAAGAGCTGATTTAAAAATAAAAAATAAAAAGAGGGTGGAGAGAAGTTTTTGCGGAACAAGATTCGATAATTGCTTTTATCACAAGGAATTAGCAAACACTGGGCTAGTAGTTATGAGGTTGATGAGCACATCCCCATGTAATTGTTTCTGTAAAGAAGAAGATGATAACATGATATTTAATGATAACTAGTGATTTGATCAGATTTCAACGAGCCTTCCTGGAGACCGGTGAGACTCACTGGAGAAGATAATCGGTAGACGAAGATGAGAATCATGATATTTGATGATAACTAGTGATTTCAACGAGTCTTCCTGGAGACCGGTGAGACTCACTAGAGAAGATAATCGGTAGACGAAGATGAGAAAGTGATTTGCAAGCAGTAGAATATAATTCCCCAAATCTACAAAGACATGTTGAGCTGATTCCTAAAAAATAAAACTACACTACAAATTTATTCTGTATCCCATGCATGATAAAACAATTAATTTACCAAAGTAACTTATAATTTATCTATCTGTTTCGAAATTTACTTCAAAAATTAAAGGCATTCTCAAGCAATAATAAAAATAAAAACTAGATAACTCCATTCACAATGCTGTGTTGTGACATGATTAATTTTTTTTAAAACAAAACCTACCAACTACTCTGTACCCAACTCAATCTTGTTTTAATATAGTCCGGTTAACTTGATAATTTAAAAAATCTTAAACAATTAAAAAATATATTTTTAATTTTAAAAATATTTTTAAATTGACATATTTTTAATTAAAAAATATATTTTTAAATTTAAAAATATTTTTAAATTGACATATTTTATTAAAAAAAATATTGAACTCCATTAAATTTAATAATTTTTAAAAATATTATTTTTTATTTAATTGCATGATAAAAAAACCATACACTTATTAAATATCAAGATATTTTATGAGAATAAAATAATTCTATAAAAAATAAATCATAAAATCTAATTTTCAATAATTATATTTTTATAGAATAATTTTTTATTTAATAATATAATAAAAACTCAAAAAATCAACCACCAACTTAATATCAATAAATTTTTCTAAGATAGCAATATTTCTATAGAAAATAAATAAATAAATCATTTTTTTTCCAAAACCATTTTAACAATATGATATGCCATTTGTTATTTAATAATATGATAGTAAAACACAGATCATCATTAAACCAAGCACTAATCTAATATCAAGATATTTTTTCTAGAACCTAATAATCCTATATAAAAAGAACCAAAATAAATTATTCCAGTTCCAGTAAAGCCAATGTTAAAGTATAAAAATGAAAAAAATTGAAAACATGCAATTATTCAAATAAACAAAACCACCCCCCTCAAAAAAAAGAAAAAGATAAAGATAAAACAAAACAAAATAAAAACTAACAAGGTTTACAGTCAGAATGGGAAGAAAAACAGGAAATAAATCAGGACAACCGTTGTTAACAACAAACTATCGGTAACAATAATAGGACCTGGTAGGGGTCGTGGTAGATGTCTCCAATCTCTAAATGGCCCCTTAATCCCCAAAATAAGTCGGGCCAATTTAAGCCATTCTACAACCCCCTCACCAAAAAAAAAACCCTAGTAAATTATAAAAAGAGGCCTGCAAGGTGAAAGTAGAAACAGAAGTATGTAGAAAAATGGCGCAGCACCCAGAAAACCTTGATAGAAATGTCAAATCATCAGTATCTCAGAGAGCAGCCACAGCACTTGGCAAACTTTATGCTGAACTCAGTTAGTACTGCTCAAATATCGCGTTTCAGTGTCACGCCAATGATCCCTACTGGAGACTTGGGCCGATAATGTTCATCTGTGTCCACCTCTTCAATTTCCTGATGGAACATTGCAGATAAAAGGTTACTAAAAAATGATGCAGCAAGAAGGCAAGAGGAACAAATCACTCGTGAAGAACATGCTTTATACCTGCACCACATCCTCTCCCTTTATGGCCCTTCCAAACACCAAAAGCTTGTCATTTAGATCTGGAATGGGTGCAGTTGTAATAAATAGCTCAAATCCTGTGTTGTCTCTAGTTTTTGAGGTTCCGATCATAAAAGCTTCGTGCTTTGGGCTGGTTATCACATTTAGAAATTATCATTGCAGGAAACAAAATCCAAATTCCGTAAAATGGCAGACACAAAATCTCAAGCAAGAAAACCTTGTAGCAAGCCTACTGTGAAGCTTTCCTTTAGTGGTCCAATCTTCAGCAGCACCAAGGCCTTGGCCATGCCCTGCTTGAATTACATAATGCTTGATCACGTGATGGAAAGGCATCCCTTTGAAGTACTCTTTTTGACTGCGAAACCAAATTTGAAGATTTAAGAGTAAAACAAAGATAAATGAATATACAATGAAATGGAAACAAGAATGAAAAGAGAAAGAGCATCATCATAACTACATTACCAAACTAATAACTGATGAAATAACTGGTGTTCTGCCATTACACCAGATCATGGAGAAAAAAAAACCATTGTAAGTAAATAGAATGGAATTTCTAAGCAATCTCTCATTTTAAAATTAAAAAAAAGAGAGGCAAATTCATCCAACACATTCTTGTTATTGCATGCTTAAAAATATCGGTTTAATGAAATATATTTCTGTTCAACAAACTATGTTTCTGTTCAATGGAACCAGTGGATGTAGCTAGAAGAATACCAACATATGTTGTTGCTTACCACAAGTCAAGGAATTTGTCCACTATCATTGGAGAACCATCTTTGTACAGTTCTACTGTTATATAACCTTTTGATGTATTCAGAATCTACAGAGGAATGAAAAATCAAGACTTAAATAACTGCAAGGAATTCCAATCACATTATGGCAACACAAGTACAATTTTATGCAAGTGATACAAACAATTAGTCATAAAGACATTAAGATGGAAACAGAGATGTTAAGAGGGGCTCAAGAAGAAATAATATATCAATTGCATCTAAAGGACTTCCTCAATCCTCAATGACAGTCAGAGAGACATTCTATGTCTTTAAAATATCTATTGTCTGTTGTAGTAGTTTATCTAATCATACTTCATGCAGGAGGAGACTATCCATCAGGCACACATCACATTTCAAATGCTGCTTGTTACATAATAGTAGTCTCTATATACCACGTGTTTTCACATGCTCACTCACACTCGCACAAAAGTGGCTCTTCCAAATAGATATTTAACCTTTCTTGTCAAATAAATACACTGTGACCAGCACCTCAACCAACATCTGCTACAATCAACTATTACAGCATAAAAATTGCAGCAGCAAGATAACGCAACAACTTACAGCATAACCAGGGAGATCATACTTCTTTGAATCTGAAAATGAATTGGCAGTGTCCTGAATAACATAAAATGGTATCAGCTTTAAATAGGATGGATTTACTTCAATAAAAAGAAAAATTATGATTGGATCAACCACAGAAACCCTGATTTGCTAGATGACAAAGAAACGACCTGACAACTTTTTTTTTAAAAAAAAAAAAACAAGAAGAAAAAAAATCCTATTACATACCTCAAAAGTCGATAGACCACTTACTGGTTGGTTCCTTGACCTGCAAATAACATGTTAAATCAAAAGAATAATTTCTGAACAAGATCCATTAGTAGATTCTCCTGAGAAAACTGATGACAATGATCCACAAAACAACAGGCACCACTGAGAAAGGAAGGGACAGCAAACCTTTGTGACCAATGCTTATATGTTGCAACTACGGACAATACAATCACCACAACAACCAAGTTACAGAGAAATATAGTAGTGGCACTGATCCGAGCTGGTCCCTTCTTCCTTTTGCTCTGATTTAGCAATGCCTGAGGTTTTATCCTTGCCATGAATTGTAACTTTGACTATATTTTTACAGACAAAAAAAGCCTGTAAATTGCAAAGGACACTCAATACTGGGCCAGGTAAGAAATGAATCAAATCCATAGAATCCTAAAAAATGAAAACTAGGGCACCACTAATTCCAGTCAAATACTTTAATCCCAGTCCTAAAATAAAACTAGGTAGTGAGCAGCATCTCTAACCTGCCTCTGCATAACATGCAAGCATCTATAACACCACTTTCTTTTCTCATCATTGTTTGATCAAATCTATCGACTTGGATTTACAACCCTTAAAAAATTACTTCAATGTCAAGAACAAGTAATTCTATCATTCAAACCCGACTGTAAAATTACAGAAAAGGTAGCTTTACTATATACCTTGTATAAGTTTTCGTGCTTGCCTAAAATCTATCTTCACTCTACCAACATATTCAGTTAAATAAACATCCTTTAAAATAATAGTCAACTTCAATTCATTCCAAGGAAAGCGAATTCCTATATCTGAAAATCGAAGCCAAGGTGCAATTACCGAATTCAACATCCAATAAAAAATCCGTGTGTAATTCTTGTTTTGCAAGCTCAATTAATCAGATTAAACAATTTTCTTTTCTGCATGTTAACTAAATGCAGAACAACAAAATTAGAAACAAAAAATCCCTCTCAGACTATCGAAAATAGGATTTCTCAGCTTAATCAAAAAGAATTAAAAGGCTACACGTTCAATTCAGATCCAAAATTTCTCTAAAAGGTTGGAAACCCTAACATTTCATGGACCATCAAAGCATAAAAGTAATAATCACGCAGTGCATCAAGAGTGAAAATTAACGAGACCGTACCTAACTTTGATAGAATTGGCAAGTTTAAAGCGTGCCACAGCCAGTGACGTTAATAACTTTTCTACTGCTTAAAGAAGGAGATGATCGGAAACCTGACAGTCCGTTGGGATTGATTAGCAAGAGATTAGATGATGGTGATTAATTGGTTAAGTTTCCAGGTGGTGTGGGTTCCGCGTCGTGGATTCAATTCAAAAACTGACCGTAAGAGAAATGGACGGTCTTGATGAAATCGAAGTGGAGGACGATACACGCTCACGCTTCAGTCATGATGACATGGTTATAATTTGGATATCACTTGGGCCCAGCCTACAGTATAGTACGGGTTCGCATACTTTCTTGCCTTACTTCAGATTTTTACCCTTTCTTATTGGTTATCAAAAAAAGAAAAGGAAAAGGAAAAATGATTATAACAATAATCTTTGGTTCCTAAAGTTATATTCATTTGTATACTATTTGTTTTAACGTGTTTCAAATTTTTATTTTTATTTTTAATTTTAATTTTTAAATTGTTTTGAAATATAAAAAATATTATTTTAATATTGTTTTGAAATTTTGAAATATAAAAAATATTATTTTAATATATTTAAAAATAAAAAATATTTTGATCCCGTAGAGGTAGCGCTGAACAACAATAATTCTATACCAAAAAAGGGATATTTAACAACCAATGGATTGGATCAACATCTTTTGCATAAACTACCGTAAGTTCGTAACTAATAATAATAATAATAATAAATCATCCTCCAAACCTTCACAAAGAAATCTTTCTTCTCCTAGTTCAAACCATCCCTGTAAACTACTGCTTCTCTCTAACAATTTCAATATGTAATATTTTCATTATTCTTCAAAGCCTGAAAACTTCTCCCAGTTGATCCAAGTCTTGCAATAGCAACAATGTCTAGCTTTACAGTTCTCGAATTGACAGTGAGCTCTAATGAATTTTATATCAATGATTTGCTTCTCTCTTCGTCATTAATTACCGCGTTCAAAACTTGCTACCGAATTGAATTTATAATTAATCACTTCAATTGATATAACCGGGATCTACAACTGTTTTCCGATTCAAGCGGTAATATTCTGATAAAATCTAAATTTATTCATGACATTTCTTTATGTATTAAATATTAAAATAAAAACTAAGAATTAAGAATCACCAACAGTGAGATTTCAACTTGTCTATCACTTGGGATTAGGGAATGGAATGGAGAATGAACGAGGATGGGAAAGACAGGGGAAGAAGAGGCGCGATTGCACCAAGCCAGTGCAATTAACTATGTGCGAATACAGATTCTGGATTGCAGTAGAAGCCAAGGCAACATGGTCCCATTTATATATTTCAATCGTTACTGATTGAATCTGGATAAACTGCACAGAAAATTGGCAGCGACCATGGAACGCTAGTCAGATCAATACCCCCGCCACTCCCCGAGAGAGATGGGATCGGAGTCTTTTTCTTGCGAAGGAAAAAAAAGATCACAGATTTATATGTTCATCTGATCCGGCTCTCAGTCTCCAGCTACGGATTATAAGTGCCCCACTTGTTTGTGGACCTCTCTGCAAAAAGGTACAGAGAATTGGACAATATTGTTTGTGGGCCCATTTGCCATTTGCTTATGGCTGGAAATGGACTTTCTTTGTTAATGGGTTTCTGATACTCTCTGGCCTTATACGAATCACCAGTCCAGGCTTCAAATGCACAGTGTTCCATGTTTTTCTCATAATTAGCAAAAAAAAAAAACTTTATAACATTTGTAATAATAATTTTGATGACTAAGATAGAAGCATAGTTTTAGGTTCCCAGCGCAAATAATCTATATCTAGTTTATTTAACGTAGATAGTAATAAAACAACAGGTAAAAAAATAGTTATTCTAGCAGGTTTTCATTTAAATTAAGGTTAGTATTTATTTTTTTATTTCATTAAAAAGGAGAGGAGAAAACATTGAGCTGCATGCTTTCTAAGGGTAGTATTTTACATAATTATCAATACTCACAAATTCTCACTAGAATCCGGTGCGTATTTAAAGTTATTTACTGTCACATGCTAGCTAGGTTATAAATACTACTTTTAATTTGGATGGGAAAATAACATAACATATAAAATGACTAATTTTTTTCACTAGTTTTCAATAGAAATAATCTGCATTCGATAAATGAAATAGATAAAAACTATTTACGCCTTGATCATTTTTAGGACCACACATTTCACCTCGTATTTGTTCTTTACTATATCATCATTTTCTTTAACTAGGCTAACGTTTCCCTGATGTTTAAAAAATACGAAAAATACATGCAAGTGAAAGGATGTAGACTGGTTATTTCCCTGATGTTTAAAAAATTACATGCAAGTGAAAGGATGTAGACTGGTTTTAATTTTGGATTATTTCGTCTCGAGAAAATAAAAAAATTGTGAATGTTTGTGTTTATTAACAGAAATTCCAAGTAGTTGTCAATGATCCCATAAATTGGGCCAAGGCGCCTAGCACACAAGAGCTGAGGATGATGCCAGAGGTGCATCGTGCTGGTAATTTTCCGCCACAAATAGGGATGAATCTGTTACAAGCCAACCAAAACCCCACGACCCCACCACACCCTCTCACTTCCCAGCTACAGTGTCCTCACAGTGACAAGAAAACGAGTCAGTGAGAGAGAGCCCGAGCGCCAGCGATCAGAAACTTCCCAGGCAAAAGAAAAGACCTTCACTTGAAGACCACGCCTTCTTCCTCGAAGATCCTTTCAATGACGATGCTTTAAGCACTGCCCAGATTAATCAGGTATCGGGATCCTTCCATTTTCTCTCCACTTCTCACCAACCAGACAAAACCTTATTTATCTTCCTAATTATTTTTCTTTTATTTTTTGGCAGATTATTCTGACGCATGGATTCAGAAGAACACACAAGCGCTCCAAGGCACGTGGTTTAACCTCTTCTCAGTTACTGCATTTTTCATTTTGTTTTCTTATTTTTTAATTTTTAGAGCAACACGGCGATTGACGCTGGAAGACAATTTATCGCCGTACGATGACGCATCACTCTCGCTCGGTGAAGCAAAACAAGACTTGGAATCTTTGAAATGGCAGGAGTGTTCAGACCAATCTATCGAGACCGTGCTTTTCAAACACAAAACCAGTGATGAAGTCAAATCCAACGGTCATGACGATGCTTTCAAGAGTTTTGTGCGGTCGTCACAAGAAGAGGAGAGATCTAGGAGGATGAGAGGTGTGAGTAGCATTGTGGATGATAGTGATGCGATGCATGGGCGTCCTGGTGGCTGTACTGACGTGGCTGTTGGCTGTGTAAAATGTAAATCAGTGGGGTCCGTTTTTGTACGTCGATACTTTTTCACCAAATTATAAAAATAGTTGATTTTGGTGTTTTCAAGTTTTATTTTATGAAAAAAATATAATAATAATTATTTTAAATTTTAATATTATCTAAAAAATAAATCTAGATAAACTTAAATATAAGAATAGTAACGACTTGTTTTTTATCTCAATAGACAACACATCATCTAATTATTTCTTTTTTGAAAAATAGAGATAAGTAATAGGTTGTCCGCACATTAAAAAAACTAAAGAGTATGTGTTAAACACAGGCACGCAAGCCTTGGTTTGAAAATCACCAATTAGGTTTTTCTTTTGCCTTGGATGGCTTTAAGTTTTTATATGCTTTTTTTTTTTTAATGAGTTTGGTCGTAGCATTCAATTTTTTTATTGTTTAATATATTTTTTTGTCCCTTATTCCATCATTTTTATTATTAAAGGTGTATATTTTATTTAAATTAAAAATACAATTTTATTATTTGTTATCATTTATTTTTTTCAAAAATCATATATGCTTTTACTATCTCAGTTACACTTGTCCTGATAGAGATTAAAACTAAAGAGTCCTTTTCACGGTAAAAAAACACTTTGCACATGCAAATAAAATGCTATGAATAATTACAATGTGTTTTTTAGATTATTGAACAAATTTTAAGATAAAGAATGATTAAAAAAAAATCAACAAAATCAAGTTAAGAGTTTGACATTGATAAGTGTCACCCTAGTATAAAGAGATTAACAAGACAATTTCGTCAACATTAAAAAAGATCACTATGAGGTCACAAAAGAGACCACAATTGTTGTCTTAACCTTGATTGCTTCCTGACATGTTAGTTCTTGAAATACGCATATATGTGTTCTCTATTTTTTTTTTATATCAAGTCAATTTAATCATAAAATTATTTTTTTTTTAAATTTAATTCTTAATTTTTCATTTCTTTTTAATCTAATCCTGAATTTCATCTAACTCATTGTTAAAAAAAAAATTAATCATTACTAAAAAAAAAATAATAGAAATCTAGCTAGAAAGAAAATAATAAATGGAAAAACAAAGAGATTCATTGCCAGATAAATCACCTTGTTGGGATTATATTTATAACCTGAGTTATTAATTTGATAAGTTAATTTTAATAAAAATGAGTTGTTAATTTGATAAGTTAATTTTAATAAAAATTAATATAATATGGTATATTTTAATAAAAAAATTATTTTTAATTTTTTTTATAACTTTTCAAAGTAGTTCCAACTTAATCTAATTTGAGCTCAATTAAAACTCATTCAAACCCTAACTAGAAAAAGAATAAAGGAAGAAAAATAAAAAGATAAATTATTCAATTAAATTAATTTATTGTTGTTGTGTTTATTAGATGGATCATAAAATTTTATGTGTTAATTAAGATTAATATAATATATCATTGCTTTTTTATTTCACTTTTTTTTTAATTTAATCATTTGATATTTGATAGTTAATTATGTGAGATTTATACTAGGGTTAAATTAAAATAAATTTTAAAAAATGAAATTAAAAAGAATAAAAAAATTAAGACTAGGGTTAAATTAAAATAAATTTTAAGAAATGAAATTAAAAAGAATAAAAAAGTTAAAATATAATATATTGTAATAAAAAATCTATGATCATTTTTTTATATATTTTTTAAATGTAGTTTATCTAAAATGATAAAAAAATTTGATTATTTTTTATTATAAATTACTATTCATTAAACAACTTTTAAATGATAATGAAAAATTTTTCAAAATAATTTATAAAAGACTTTTTTTTTAAAAACAATCTAATCTGCGATGCTTGAATGAGTTCTCCGCTGGTACCTCGAAGTAATATAAGATCATATACCGAGAGAGGTTATTATCCACGTTAAGTTTATAACCACTGAACTCACTTTTTCAATGGTGTTTGATTCCGAGAGGAAAGAACGAACAATTCGAACATAAATTCCTCCTGGCATCCCCGGCTGAATCACAATTCGGTATCTCATGAGCAGTTAGCAAAATGTGTTACGGTAAAGTTTCGTCCGTGGAATCTCAAATTCAGTGGCGGTGAGATTGTTTATCACAAAATCTTTTTTCTGTCTTCTCGTTTCTCTCCCCGCCTAAATCTTGGATCATGATAAAGAAAAAGAAGAATCTCGAAGTGTTGATTTAGATGCCCTTCTCGCTATTATCTTAAACTCGAATTTAAATGGAGAATGCGTACACCGAACAAAGAAAAAAGTCCGGTTAATGCCGGAGATGAAACAGAAAGAACTTTTAAAAACCGACGGAATAAAAATGAAAAAGAAAAACGAAGGCACCCTATGTCCACACGTGTCTTGGACATAGATGTTGAACACTTTTGTTTCTGTTGCTTAGGTGGCCTGCACAAGATTATTCGAAGCCCAGACCACTTTTAACTCTTCTTTTTTTCAATCTTTCGGTCTGTGATAACAAGGGGACCTCTCTCCAGGCGCGAAAATCGTGCTTGTCTAATAAAAAGGCGCGCCTCGCTTGTTTTCTTCCTTCTCGTTGATGGCCATAAGAAACTCACGACACCAATCGATTGAGTTGTACCAATTTCAAAATATATGTACTAAATGGATATAAATTATTTATTTTCAGGAAATAGGACACGTGTTGGAACTGTAATTAGCTAGAATTTCTATGCGTCCAAGACGCCAGTGTTGGGACAAAAAAGACCAGTACGTGTCATACACATCTTTCGCAAAACTCTTTTTTTTTTGTACCTGGATATCAAGCAGTGTTGCCTTTTTATTCCTTCTTATCCCCACGTACCACCTTGCTAAAACTTGGTGGTAACTCGCCAGGGAGAGTGAAAAACGATCATAACACACAATTTACTCCTACCCTTACCCTTTTCACAGAACTATCAGGTGTCCATGTTTGCTATACAGGGCACGAAGACGAAAACATCAAGATTCTAATTAGATTGCGCAAGTAAAGGGAAAAAAAATAAAATGAATGCGTGCATGTTGGGAGCTGGGAAATTTGTTATTCTGCATGATTTAGGATATGTATATATAGAATCCTAAAATCATCGTATTAACTATATAATCCAGAAAAACAAATTACTATGTGTGCTCTGTGTGTGTGTGTGTTTTCCATCGATAGGAAACTTCAATGCGTGGCAAAATGTTATTACAGCTGTTTAAGTTTAAAAGAAAGCCACAGCGAGTTTAACAGTGTCGACTGTTGATAGCTTCAATGTTTACGATTTATTTTTATAATGAAGTTTATATTTTTTGACATTATAATAATTAGGATTTACTAAACCGTCCTATTGAAAAACAAGAGGATCTGTCACGGTTTCCGATCATCGACCATGCCAGTGTCGAATAAATCTGAGATAACAAATTCATGGAATATCCAAGTCAATTTTTTTAAAAAATACATATCAATTATACGTATAAAAAAAGTCTACATGGCATAAAAAAAAAAATCAGAAAAAAACACGACATCCTAGCTAGTTATGCATCCCGACTCCCCTTTTGCGGGGGGCTTTTGTTTTTTTTTTTCGTTGGCGTATGCTAAACATCGATAAAAGTTCAGTCTCGTAGTATAAATTATATTTATACATCTCTTCTCCATCACTCGTTTGCCTGACTTGCATATCAAGTGTTTTTGGCAGAGCATTCAGGTCTCTGAGACGTGGGACATGTACTTGACCATCCCTCACTTTTCTTTTCTTTTTCCTTCCTTCGTCTCCTGTCACATTATCTTCGCCAAAATATTCATATCTGCGACAAAGGAGTGGTACAAATAAATTGTAATCTCATAGATAAAGATTAAGAAATGACAATGGATGGTTACGGGAGAATTGCTTAATTGTAATTTTAGAATTTATAAAAATTAATTAAAGTATATGTAAATTAATTTAAATACCCTATATAAATTAAAAAAATGGTAATTGCTCTAGTTACTAAAACTATAACTTCATATTAATTAATTATTTTAGATTAGAAATTTGAAATATTAAATAGTGTTTTAAAATAATTTTATATAACTCCACTGTATATAGTGAAACATTTAAAATAATTTTATACAGCTCTATTTTAGAAATTTGGGTAATGCTATTCATGCTTCAATCTAGATTTAAAATTGCTATCGATATCACATGTATATGCCTTGATACTCAATTCAGATTCGGATATTTATTCGGGTACCACAATTATTTTTTTTAAATATAAAATAAATCACGTAGACAACAAATATAATTAAACACGTCACATTGTCATATCACAAAAAAAAATTACCATTTAAATAAAGCTAGACAAAAAAAAAATTGATGTAATTTGATGGTAAAGCATGGATATTTTTACCTGAAATCGGGCACGAAGTTGCTCAAAATCCAAAAGAAATTGCTCACTTGGAGCAGGAAGCTCTCTGCTGAGAGTAAAAACATATTTTTCGGGCAATTGAATATTTATATAGTTATTAATTTTAAAATATATAAAATTAATTAAAATACATGTAAAATTATATTAACACCTATATTAATTAAAAAAACACGTTTACAGGGTTTGTTCTTGAAATAAAAATAATTTTAAATAAATAAGTAATAATAATAATAAGAGAATAATCCTTGAATAAAACATAAATTAAAAAATCATAGCTGCTCGTGAACTGAACCATCAGGTTCAGGCTGCTTCGCCGTCAAACAAGAATTAAAAAATATTCATGGCTAATATTTTCATTTTTTTTTGAAGGTGATTGATGGGACTGAGAACAGTACTGAAAGAGATTATCTTTGCCCAAATAGATACTGAAGAGATCGATAATGATAGCTCGAGCTCGGCGGAATTGGTGATCACATGGGGAGACATTAACTACTGCAAGTGGTGTCGTTGTTGTCACAGCCATAGCCACTACTAATCTTTGGTTTCGGTACATTTTATTATGCGCAGGGTGAGACGACTATGAGCGGGACAGCATGAATCCTAAGCTCTCTCTATCTCTCTAGTTTGTCTTTTCGGGTTTTTTTTTCCAGCCCCGACCCGTATATTAACTGGGTCTGTATGATTATTCATGGGATGTGGGTGGAACCACCATCTCTATCGATCCCTCTAATCATATGGATTCTTTAAATGAGCTAGAAAGTAACAAGACAAAACACCAATCATAGAAGCGAGACTACTCTGCAACAACAGCTGGGATCTGAATGAAGTAGCAAATCAGGGGGTATGCAAAGACTTCATAAGTATGCCCTGAATGATTGATACATATTCCTTTCATGGCCTACCTGTTTCACATGTTTTTCTATTTGCATTTCTTAGGCTTTTTGCTGTTTGCTCCATCAATCAGTGTGGCAGCAGAGAATAAAACAGCAAAAACAACAAAATGAATAATAACAAATGAATACCACAATGCGCACATCATTGGTGGCACTGCCACTAAACCTAGCCGACATCTCATTCGGAAACGCCAGGAAAGAAGAAGCTTTCTTATGTGTTTTCACACTCTTGACAGAACACCGCTTACCGAAAAGTATAATAAATTAATGATTATATGCCCAGGAAGATTTATCATGTTTTCATTTTTTTATACTGGGTTTAATTTAACGAAACTAATTGTTTCTATTGCCATTTTTGGACACAGTCACAACTAACATATTTATGAGAATCGTTTCCAGATCTTGTCGCAATTCATGATATATTTTAAAGCTAATCTATGACGCGACCTCCCTTCTTACTATTTAAACCAGGCCTTTAAAATAAGTTATTGTTATTTAAAAGAACGTGATCTTATTTATTAACTAAAGATAAGTATACAGCTATAATTCTACTTGCAAACGTCAAGGAAGTGGGTATACAACAAACCTTCCACACCATCATAAGAAGGAAAAAAAGAGAGAAAATCCTCCCAACAGACGTTCCATTCGGCCTGTAATTTATCTATAATTTTTTGTGAGATAAAAGAGATTCGGACTCAAGTTCAACTTATAACGACAGGTTGCTAATATTAATCATAACGATCAAAATATAGTAATTTAGATTTAAATAATTGAGAGGCTTGTGAGCCAGCAAAGAAAAAATAGCATATATGGATTGCTCTGTCCTTGTAATTATTAACAATTTGTTTTATAAGTGGGACTCGAACTTGAGTCCCAATCACTCTTATTTTACAAAACCATCGACAAATTACTTGGACAAAACTTCAAAAGGGCCCTGCATGATTTTGAGCAGCAGCAAAAGCAAGATTACC